CTGAGCCTGCTCCCAGCAGCTCTTGCCTTGCTGCCCCTCTGCCTCACTCCTTGAGCCCCACGAGCACTGGTGGGTAGATTGAATTTATATTGCCCCTAAAATCAGGGCTGAGAAAGGGGCAGTCTGAGGCTGCCTTCTGCACACCTCCCAAGAAGCAAATAAAGCTTCCTTCTAGTGGATCAGGCCCAGGCAGTTCAGTGTTGGAGAAGACAGCCACTCTCCTGCTTGTTCCAGTCCTTATTCGGGGCTCATTTGGGGTGCAGGACTGCCTCCTCCAGAATTCCCTAAGATTAATTCAGCACCCATCATGTTAATGGCTTTCTCCAGCTGCATGGTGGGAATGGGCTGAGGGATACAGGTTCCATTTGGTAGGAGCATTATTCCCAAGAAATCCTTCTTCCGGACCACCTCCTTTATCCTACGTAGGTGGCTGAAAGTGTTCAGGACCCATGTTCAGGGTGGGTTGGTGGAACCTCAGGCTTCATCTACACGAGGGGAGAGAAGTAGCATCTGGAGCATTTTTCTTGGAGAGGGGCCAGCACAGAGCCATCTCCAGGTGGCTGGAGCAGCTGGGTTGCAACCTGATCAGCTTGGGCCAAGGAGGGGCCAGGCTAGCAGAGGAATATGGGTCAGGGTGCCCTGTCCAGAAGGAGCGATGGCGCCTAGGGCTGTGCCAGGGCTCAGAGCCCTCTGCTGCCTTCCAGTAGTGGAGAGGTTCTCCAGTGGTGTGACTGGGTGGGCTCTCCTCTCGGCCTGGGCAAGGTCGCCACCTGCCCTTGCCTCCCTCCTTGTTCCTGGTCTCCCTGCTCTTCAGGCTCCTAGGAGTGGGGAAGGAGGAATTATTGAGCAGAAGAACATGAATTAGATGGAGAGAAAGCACCCCGGCCCTAGGTAATGGATGCCGAGATGATGGAGAAACCCCAAATGCTAAGAGGGGCCTAGGTGAGCACTACCAGGCCCTCTGACCCCTTCAGGGGTCTTGTGGTGGGCTAGCTCTGTGGGGGGCTCAGCCCCAGGCTTTCTGTCCAGCTTCTCATGGTTGGCTGTTGGAAGGCAGTAGTTCTGGGGAGCTGTGTCCATTCAGGGCACCCTGGGAAGCATTCCAAGGAAGTGATGGAGAGCAGTCTGTGCATACGCTGATGGAAGGCTGCCGTCTTGGTGTGCCATGGCCTTATAGTCAATTTATTTTTTTCTTTGGAGAGTCACCAGTGACCCAAGCCCTCCTCACCAGCCTCCTGTCTCTTCAGTACTGTATTCGCTCAGTGCATCAGGAGTAGGTGTATGGGTGTGTGTGGCTGTGAGTGTGGGTGTGTATGTACCAATAAACAGCCTGGTTTTAAGACAATGTACAAATGGCCTCTGGTTTCTCTCTCTCTCTCTCTCTCTCTCTCTCTTTTTTTTTTTTTTTTTAACTTTGAGCTCAGTTGACATGTCCAGCTTTGTTATCAGTCCTGAGGGCTATTGTACTCTGGAAAGGAAAATCAGGATCTAAAAATCTTAGAGTCGGTAACCTTCTGTTTATATAACCCCAGGATTGATACGAGGTTGCTGTTCGGGTTGCTTGTGCCAAGGGAGTAGATGAGGGGGAAGCTGGCTGCCGTCCTGATGGATTTCCTCTCACCCCGATTTACCTGGGCTGGCTTCCTCTGCGTGCTCCCTGAGCACCACTCCGGAACACCCTCTGTCCATCACACCTGTGTTCACACTTCAGCAGCCACCCCGCTCCAGATCCCAGGTGCATAGGGTGGTGGAAGAAGCCATCTGGGACTCCTTTGCCCTGTCTTCCTCCCACCTGTCTCTAGTCTGCTTATGTCAGAAGTGTGTCCGCTAGCGTATCACCAGAAAGCAGCACAACCTCTTCTTCCCTTGCCTTTGCGGCTTTGAACCTCCACACCTCTCCCTGCCCCTCCCCTGCAGAGTGTAGAAGGAACAGGCTTGTGTGAAGAAGTGGGTCTGACTTTGGACGTGCTGAGCTTGTTTCTACAGCATTTGTAGAAAAGAAAGAAGAATCAAGGTTTCTTTCCTAGAACCTTTTCCTTTGCCCTGTCTAGGGTTATTCCGAACAGAGTGAGAAGCAGGAAGTCTGGCCTGGGGGTGTTGTCTGTGGCTGAGGGAAGAGACTCCACCAGAGTCTGGGGTTGTGGGGGACGATTTGGGTTCAGGTTCCCACCGGCCTCGGCTGTGCTTCCTTAGCCAAGGTGCCAGCTGCCATGCCTCCAGTCTTCTCCCTGAACTCTAGCTCACTTCCAGGTTTCTCTGTCCCTGCCTGGGGCCCAGGAAGTAGGAGTTCAGGGAAGTGCGAGGAACGAGACATGCTGGGGATGGCGTTTTTTTTTTTTTTTTAAAGAATTATTTATTTATTTAATTCCATTTGTTGTTATTATTTTTTAATTTGACCAGAGAGAGAGAGAGAGAAGGAAAGTGAGAAAGCAAGCCACCAGGTCTGGAACTTGAACTATGGTTGGCCATGTGGGAATCCAGAGCCTTTATCCACCACACCACCTGCCGGCCCTGGGGATGGCATTTTTAATCCATGAAACAGGTGCCTGTGCCAGGACTTCGAGCCTCTGCTACTGAGTTGAGGGGCTCCTCTCGTCTCACCCTGTGTGGTCCCCTCTCCATCTCTATCTCCAGTTGGTCCCGCCACACCTGCAGCACTTAACAAGGTTTCTAGTCTGTCAAATAAATTATTTTGAGGAGTTAGATAATAAACCTAAGAATGTTTATTGGAATGCAACAAATAGTACTTTAAGCAATCTGCAATTCACACTAATTATCTGAACAAGCTCAGAAGCTCCGATGTACATGCCAACAGTTGGTAGGTACCTTGATTTCAAGCAACTCTTCATTCTAGTGATTCCCTAAAGTCCATTATTAGGCAACATTTGATTAACCCAGTTTGGGTATTGCAGGTGCTTCTACTGAAGAACGAACTGAAGCTGGTTCTAAAGAACTCCAACTCATTGTTCATTAATTGGCGTCTTGTCTGTAATCCTGTTGTGAAGGCGAATGTCTCTGTGCTTTGATGACAGTTGTTCTGTGAAAATAGTGAGTGAAGCTGGTTTCCTGCTTGCCACTCAGGCCTGTGATGTTCAAGCAAATTGCTTCTCCTTTAAGGACCACGAGAAAATCAGTAGCCAATGACTATCCCTGAGAGCCGCTGCTGAGGAATGTTTATTCTTTCCAGAGGATGAATATGAACTTCAGTTTCCAGTTGACATGATAATTGAAGAGACAAAAAAATATGTCCAGGAACCCCAGAGCCCAGGAGCTCCTTTGTGGAGCTACTCAAGTCTGCCCAAGTCCCCAGTGAGGAGGAGAAGGAACAGGTAGATCACAGCTCTGGCCGGCGAGCTGTATCCACCCAAGAGCTTCACAGGTGCTAGAGGCAGAGGAAATGAACCATAGGGGAGAACACTCTGTTTTTTTTCATTATTATTTTTATTTATTTATTTATTTATTTATTTATTTATTTATTTATTTATTTATTTATTTTTTGGAGAGGTTTTTCACTATAGGGCGCGTGCGCTCGCCGGACAGAAAGAGACATAGAGACAAAGTGAGAAATCACCCCCCAGGGGGAATGGTCACGTCGCAATCACTTCTCTTCCATTCTCCTCTCGGGATCTTGGGCACGCACGCACCTGCGCCTGGCGTGAGTTTTAAGCCACCGGGTCCGGGACATGAACCGCGTCGACTACGTGGGAGTCCAGCGACATAGCCATTACACTAACTGCTGGTTCCCGAGCACTCTTGAATGTATGGTTCAGTATCTTCAGGGAGTAACAAGGGAGAGTGTCCTTTCTAGAACCAAAGCATTGCTGTGGCCTTGCCCTCCCCACCCCATGGGTAGTGAGTCAGTGCCAAGAGGCCTGGAAATGATGTAGGTATTCCTCTCCAGTCCCCCAAGAGGGAGAGCCTAAACTCAGTGACAAACTCAAAAACAAGGGAATCTCACAAATGGGGACAGGTTGGACCAATTCGTGATTCCCAAAAGGCCTGGCCTTGACTGGTTGTCCTTCTGCACACTTACCACAGTTCTAGGGGCCTCCCCGGAGGCCTCCTCTTTATTTTCCTTAAGCACAGTTTCTGGAGAAACTCCAGGGTCAGGGTATGAATCCCTGTTTCCAGAAGCAAGGTCAGGAGATGGCCCCGCTGAGCCCGGGGCAAGCACACGGTGGTCCCCAGAGCCTGAGTGGTAACACTGGGCTGATCTGATGTCAGTTCCCTGAAGAACTGAATGGGGAGGGCCCAGGCAGTGGTGCAGCAGCAACACAGCTTGATTCACATGGCCAGGGTCCTGGGTTTGTGTCCCGGGAAACCCCTGAGCATGTGGGGGATGTGTGTGCCTGTGATCCAGGCTGGCCGAGGCTGGGGGTGAATCATGGCGTGAAGATCCTGTTGGGGGAATGCCTGTCTCTTTGTCCCTCTCAAGGAAGAAATAAATAAACTTAAAATGATAATAATAATAAAAGAATTGAATGGGTGCTGGAATGTACCACCCTCTGAATCCCCAGACTTCTGTGACGACTCTGAAACTTATGATTTGCTGTAAAGCGGACAAACTTGGCCTGGAATTCATAATGTTTTTTGCATGTTCATGATCCATTCAAATTCTAGCTCCTGTTAACTCCCCAGTTAATTCTTATGTAATCTCTACCCAAAATCTTCCTTCTCTATTCCCCACCCACCTCCTCCCTTTAGGAAGCCAGTCTTTGAAAAATAGATCCCACATGAAGAGAACCCCAGCTTCTCTCCCCACCCCTCCCTTTTTTTTTTTTTTTTTACGAACCCCTCCTTGACCTTCATGCTCTGAGCCAAATCCCCTTCCACCAGGAGGGAATGGAAGAGTACGGGAAGGGACGTGCCATTCGATCTGCAAGGCAGCGACAGTGCTTGACCCCATTCCTGTTGATTTCATCACCTCCCACTTCTCTACAGGGCTTCTGGTAATGTGGCACAGTGGGAGAGGCAGGCAGTGTGCTGGGGAGAAACCCACCAATTCCAGCTCTCCGCCCCTGGCCCCTGGCTGTGGGTTATGCACTGAGCATGCTCAATGAATTGCAAGCCAGGGACCAACTGGGACACATTGGGTTGTTGGAAAAGTCAAGACGCATTTTTGCAAAGAAAAACAGTAAAATACACATGACTTTTCCAACGTCCCGGTGCTGCAGGCTGCAAACGTCTGAGTTGGAGTGCGGGGGCAGTCTCGGCAGGTTTTCGTCCACGTTCCAAAAAGATTTCTGTGGAATCTGGCCTCACCTGGCCTGTGGACCAGACCTGCCTGGCTTCCACTGACACGGTAGAAAGGAGCAGGGGTTGCCAGTGCTGGCTGACCAGCAAGACCACCTCCAGGGTTTTGGAACTCCATCGCCCAGTCCTCAGAAGCCTCCCCCAGGGTGTGTCTGGACTGCTGAGTGAGAAGGGACAGGGCTGTTAGTCACTCCCCTTCCTATATACCATCACCCACATCCTTCTAGCAACCAGTCTTTATTTGTTTTTTAAAAAAGGAAATCCAAATAAGTTAGCAAAAAAAAAAAAAAAAAAGAAAAGAAAAGAAAAGAAATACAAAACAGTAGCAAAACCACACAATGCTTAGTTAACAACAACAACAAAATCACCCAAGATCCCCCGCCCCCCTTCCCTGCCTGTCCCTGGCAACTTCAGCACAGGAGACCTTGGTCAAATGGAGCTTTACAAAGAACACACAAAACAAAACAAACAAAACATAAAACCTCTGGAAGGTTCCCAATATTCACTGCAAAAACTTGGCCCCCCAGGGACTTGGGAACAGAGGACTGTCCCTCTCCCTCTCTTCTCTCTCAATTCAGGGCAGGCCCAGCCCAGCCATTGGCATCAGGGAGAGGCCAGAACAGGAGATGTTTGCAGCTTGTCCAGGTCAGGACACCGTCCTTGCCTCTCAAGCTGCTTCATTGGGGGTGTGGAATTAGAGGCTGCCTTACGGCAAAAAGGAAGCTCCTGAGTTTGCCCCCTGAGCTGGGGGCGCACACGAGGGGGCGCTCTGGTCCCCTGCTTTATCTCCCTGGAAAGGAGACGCCCTCTGCTGTAAGGAGTCAGCTAAGTCAGGGCAACCGTTCCCCTGCTGGGTGGTGGGTTAACCTTACATGGATGAGGAAGGGACTAGTTTGGCCTGTGGCAGCCCAGGACTGGCTTCCTGGCATCAGGACAGCCAAGCTTAGGAGGCCCCTGCTGCAGAAGCAGTGGCATTTGTGGCCAGTTTGGGGGCTTGCGTGGACGCCCGGCCTGGCGAAAAGTCTCAGTTGGGCATGGTGTCATCTGGGAAGGCCACGGACACGTCCTCTACTGTGATGCCGTCCACGATGGAGGTGAGGGAGTGCAGGTTGTGGACGTCGGCAGGGTCAGTCGCAAGTAAATGATCTGTAAGGAGAAAGAGGCAGGTGTTACTTGGGGAGAGGAAAGGGGCCTCGGGGCTCAGAATAGGGGCTGGGACGCTTGGGGTGACAGGTTTTCCAAGGCAGATGAGTGAATAAAACTAAGGACCCCCATTCCCTGGGCCGTGTGTGTGTGTGTGTGTGTGTGTGTGTGTGTGTGTGTTTGCACATGCATGTGTGCATGTGCCTCTTCTCTGAGCTCCCCTGAGAAGGATTGGGGATTGGGGGCAGCTATTCTGAGAGGGAGCAAGGATGGTGTATCCTCAGGGACGGGAACTGCCCTTTGCTGGGCCCAGTTTGCAGCACTGACTCAGCAACTCCCAGGGACCCCTGGGGCAGGGACAGTCTCCTTTTGGTGGAGGTCAGCCACTAGGCACCAGCTGGGGAGCTGGAGGAGGCAACAACCTCTCGGGAGCTAGGCAAGGCTACAGGGAGGAACAGGGTCTCCCAGCCCACTGTATGGGGCTGCAGAGTCAGTAGGTTCCTGGAGCAGCTGAGAGCAAAGGACTGGAGCAAGGAATAAGGTGAGAGGGGAGCCACGGGCCCAGGGTGGGACTGAGGGTTCTGCGCCAGGATTACCAAGTGGGCCTCACTTACCCCCTGCATTGGGGCCGAATTCCAGTGCACTGCCCCACTCTGGGCTGCAGGAGGCACTATGGGGGCTGCATTCGCTGGGCACCTGCAGGACAGGGCAAAGGCTCAAGGTCAGGGCACAGCCTTCTTGGATATGTCTCTCTGGGGTTGAAGGGTAGGTCTCGGCTGCAGTCCTCCAGCCTGGGCCAGCTCTCCCCGGAATCTTCACAGCCAGCTCCTTTTCTGCTTCCAGCCCTTCCCAGCTGCCCTCCCAGGACGCCAGCTTGTAAGGGTCCCTATTTTCCTGATCTTGGGGTTAAGGGCAGGGGAGGTTGGGTATCTGGGCCAACTAGGGTGACTTCTGCACAGCCTGTTGAGTCCAAGGCGATGGGGTAGGCTTTCTCTCTGCTCAGGCACAGCCAGGATAGGGTTAGGGGATGGGGCAAAGCAGACTTCTCCGGAGAGTTTGGCCTGGCCTTTGGTTCTGACCAGGTGGGGGGTTGTCCTACCCTTCCCGGCTGGCTGTGGATTCACTCCCCGGGCCCTTCCACATCTCCTCCCCAGGGTCCTTCCCTTCTCTGGGAGGAACATGGGACATGAGGTCAGCTGGACAGCCCAGTTCCGAGAAGGTAGGGGGCCTGGGGTCCCCTAACTGAGACTCTGTCTGGCGTCCGCTCTAGCTCTCTGATGGCCCTCGGCCCTCCGTGGGTCTCAAGACCCATGCCTCGGTCTTCCCTCTCCCCTTGGGCAGGAGGAGGGGACGGCCACTTACCCCTGGCTGGGGCCCACCCCCGCCGCGGTAGCGGAGGTCGCGCTCCTCCTGGTTGAGCGAGCTGAGCAGGGCCTGCAGGCGCTCGATGTACTGGATGGCGCTACGCAGGATCTCCACCTTGGGCAGCCGCTGGTTGGGGTTGAGCAGGGTGCTCCTCTTCAGGGCCTCAAAGGCCTCATTCACCTTCTTGAGCCTGCGCTTCTCCCTCAGCGTGGCCGCCCTCCTCCGGTCTATGGACACAGACTTCCTCTTACACACCTTACAGGCCCATGGCAGGCACTGGCCGGGACAGTGCTCGGGGGTCCCCAGTCCCTTGTCCTCCAGGGGCCCTCGGGCCTCAGGACTCAGGCTGAGCTCTGTCCGCTCGTAGCCTGGGGCCTCGAAGCCCTGGAGGTGGACAGGCAGGTAGTTCTCCCCATCATAGAAACGGGGTTCCTGGTAGAAGTAGGGGGATGTCTCATACAGCTCCATGGGGTCGGAAAAGACTTGTTCCTGCCACTGGCCCCCAAGCTCCTGCAGCCCCTCACACCAACTGCTGGGTGCCATTTAAACCCTCCCCGCTGGCATGGAACCAGAGATAAATATAGCCAACGCCACAGAAACCTGAGCCCCTCTAAGCTGTTGCTGCACATCAAGACGTTTACAGAGGATTAGATGGAGTCCCCTTCCCGCTCCCCCCACCCAGCCAGCCTGCCCCTGGCCCGCCGGCTCCTGTGCATGGGTCGGGAGGCCGTCGGGTGTAATTCGATTAGTTTTCATTTCTCGGCAGCCCAATGGGGCAAGGGAGGTGGGGGAGGACACATTCCCCTCTCATCTGCTCCTTTCAATTACTCCTGGCCGGCAGGCGGCCTGCTCTCTCCTGGCTAGTCCCAAAGAAGCCAGGTGGGTGTAGGGGGAGGAGGCACCAGGAAGGGGTCGGCTTGGCGTGGAAGGGGCCTTAAGTGTCAGTTGACCCAACAGCACCTTAACCAAGCTCTGTTAGTCAGTCGGGATTCTCCAAGACCTCCCAGAAGAACAAGACGGCTTCAGACCTTGGGCACGTGTGGGGCTCATCAGGGATAAGAAGGCTGGCTCTGGAGAGGCGCGTGGGTTCCACTTCTGGGTCTCCAAGGCAGTTTTGATCTTCTTTTTTGTCTCACATGACGGGTTAAACTGAGGCAAGATGTATTTTTTTTGTTTGTTTTGGCAGAGTCGGGGAAATGTTCTCTTTTGTATTTCAGTAGCTGGTCAAGGTCTGAGCTTAGATGAGAACCAACAGCCTACACACTGCCATCTTCCCCACAGCGGCAAGGTCAGGGTTGATTCAGTTCTCTGTCTCTTCCCCTCCTCTCTAGACCATTTATCTGTCCTCTTATGTCACTGTCTCAACTCTGTTTCCTGCACCATTGGGATGCCAGAATTTCCCTGCCTTTTTACTATGGATAGGAACGGAAAGGAGAGAAAGCAGAGCCTTCTGAGCTCAGTTTAAACCCTCCCTTTTCTTTTCTTTTCTTTTCTTTTCTTTTCTTTTCTTTTCTTTTCTTTTCTTTTCTTTTCTTTTCTTTCTTTCTTTCTTTCTTTCTTTCTTTCTTTCTCTCTCTCTCTCTCTCTTTCTCTCTCTCTCTCTTTCTTTCTTTCTTTTGGTATTGGGTATCTTTGTTAGAGAGATGAAGAGATATTCTCAAAGAGAGAGGAGAAGGAAGGTGAGAAGTCACCTCCCAGGGGGCATGGCCACTCTGTAATTCCTTCTCCTCTGTTCTCCTCCCGGGGTTCTGGTCACACTCCACCACCTGGCCTGGTGGTTCTGCCTCTTCCTGGCTGGCCCATTGTGTGGACACGGATCATACGTGTCTCAGCTGCCTGGGTGGGGGGGCTATTCAGTCTCCAGGCTTCTCAGTCCATGGTCATCTCAGCAGAGGCCCCGGGGTCTGAGGACCAGTCCCTCCCCATGCAGTGTGCAGTCCTCAGACACCAGCAACAACACGGCTTAGTCTTTGGGCTGAGGATTAAAAGGACTCACCAGGCAGGGTCCCTATCCTCGACCTTACCATTTAGTTAATAGACCAAGGTGGTCACTTCGTTCTACCCAAGCTGCTATGCCTGAATTCTCTTCCCAGGTGGCCAATACTTGGTGTCTGTGGCCCTCACCAGGCAGCCCGTCCTGCGGCTATGTGACTTTGGGAGTTCTGGGCTTTGAGCTGCAATCTGCATTTATATATTTACTTATGTTTTTAAATTATTTATTTATTTACCTTGATTTGTTGTTATTATTTTTTAATTTGACCAGAGAGAGGCAAAGACAAAGGGTTAAGTGAGAAAGCAAGCCACCAGGTCTGGGATTCAAATGGTAGTTGGCCATGTGGGAGTCCGGCACCTTTACCACACCACCTGCTGGACTTCTATTTACTTATTTATTTCATGAGCAAGAGAGAAAGAGAGGCAGACACCCCAAAGGGGTCTTGACACAGGGCTCCATTCCCAGCTTCAGAGCCCTGGGTCAGAAGCACACACACTCTTGGTGTGTTTAGGGGGGTCTCCAGAGCTGAACCTGGAACCCCTCACGTGGGCCAACCTTGCAGCTGTGTGCTGTCCTGCCCCATGTTCCCCGCACCTTTCACCCTTTGGCTCCAGTTTTTCTCCAGTACCCTGTGGACTAAGTCTGGTCTACCTTGCTACACCTCCTCCCGTGACAGGTGAGACTGAGACATGTTCAGGCCAGTGGCAAAGACAAGCGAAAGAGGAACCTTGCTGGGTACTCGGGGAAGACAGGCACGGGAGGCGAGGTGTGGTGGAGTTTAAGGACTGGCTTTCCTTCTTTCCGTTACCCATGGCAGGGGCCAGGAAAATTCCAGCTTCTTTTTGGAAAAGGAGTGAGGAGACACAGCTGGGCAATGAAACAAGCTCCCCTACACACACACAAACACGTGTGGGAAACAGGTTTTTTTTGTTTGTTTGCTTTTTTGTTTTTGTTTTTAGATTTTCGCCATAGAATGTGTGTGCTTGACAGAGAGAGGGAAATGAGAAATCCCCCCCCCAACCCCTCGGCAGCGGGCAGGGGGATGGCCGTACCACAATCCATTCTCTATTCTCTTCTCAGGATTTTGGGCAAAGGAAAAACCCCCCCCCCACCCCCCCGGCGGCGGGCGGGGGGATGGCCGTACCACAATCCATTCTCTATTCTCTTCTCAGGATTTTGGGCATACATACACATGCACCCAGCATGATTTTCAAGATGCTGGGTCCAGGAATCAAACCATGGTTGGCCATGTGGGAGTCCAGTTCCTTAACCACCTGCTGGCCCTAAGCAGTGAGGTTTTAATCTGGCTCCTGGCCTTGTGGTGTGGCAGGAAGTGGCAGCGTGGATACCGTGAATTCTGCACTTACTTTGACTCTGACCAGCCAAGCTTAAGAAGAACATCTATGTCTAACACATTCCCACCAACAAAAGAAAAAAAAAAAACAAAAAGTACCCCTTAACTCAGTTTATACCCGAATCCTATGCACAGCGAGAAAAGCAGTGACACCCAAGCTACTGTGGAAATCCAGAAACGCATCTTTTGTTCTTTGGGGCTCCAATCTGATGTACCCCCTCCAGAATGTGTCCTCTTCCAAAATGGAAGCAGGAGCGTGAGCTTGTCCCATGCTGGTCCCTAGGACCTCACTAACCAGTTGGCGAGCATGGGCCCTGAAATGGAAGTGTCAAACTATGCATCTAGGGAGGCCTATCTGATTCCACAGTGAACATGGGGTCTGTGAGCACCTGCAAAGGAGTGGGTTTGTCAAAGGAGCATTTTAGTTTACAGAGGAGCAACACCTAAAGGCTGGGCCAGGCCTTGGGGAACAGGTGAGGTCAGGAGGGGAAGAGTAAAGGAGGCGAGTGACATCAGGCAGGCTGGTTTGTTTGGAGCTCAGGATTCAGGTGGGGGTGATTGGGAGGAGGCCCAACTGGGAGAGAAAGCCAAGGCAAGGAGACCATGTTGAAGAGCACGGCTGCTCCCATTCAGGTGAAGGAGGATGGCCTTGACTAGGAGGGAGTCATGTCAGGGCCTAGCTGTGGGCCATGCACCCTCCTAGGGCTGAGATGAGAGGTTGACCAGGTGTCTTTGACGCCTTAAAGCCTCCATGGGGGTCCTAGCCCCTTACCCACTGCGTCCTCTTAGAGGAAGCTGTGCAGCAGCCACTCTAGAGGCTTTGTTTTTTTTCCCCCCACCTCCCCCCC